ACGTTTTATTAATTCAGTCGCAAAAGCCTCGTTTATTTATGTTACGATCGTATGCAGCAATGTTTAGTAACTATAAATACAAAGTTTCTATTATTTGTTTCGTTAAATTTACTAACCCTTTATTCGTAAAATATTAACACAAAAATTAGGCTCAACTTAATCAAATCTCCCTAATTACATCATTGATCGAATTCCACGTTAATATGCTTAGCCACTTAAATATATTCAGCAATAATTATTCTCTAACGTGATGAACCTGATACGTTGTTAAGCTGGCAGGTAACTAATTGTAGTTAATGATAAGAGATAGGCCGTAATTAATTCATCACATCTCAACATAATGAATATATCAATCAGACATTAGCTAATCCAGCGTTACTGATGTACATCAGCGACGTTGCCTCTTTTGAAATTAAAGCTCTACATGCACTTTAATTAGTTATTCTTGAAGCTTGAAGATTTGGGTACAACTTGATTGCTACTTAATTCCCAGATTAAATTAAATTAAACATTTATGCCCCAAGCAAAACCAATTGTTATTTGAAAAATTGCTGGGACTAAAAAATTTTTCAATTTATTTTTAATATGAATCTACAATATTTTAAAATAAGTGGCAACATTGAGCTATAATAATAATCTTTAGGTTTCTCAATTTACCTTCTACCCGAAACCGGACTCACTACATCAGTAATTCCTTTGTGATGCTCTCTGATATTTCTTGATACGTGAGTATTCATAACCGCGGATGACTTTATTCGACGGTAATTTATGTCGTGTTCTTGTTAATGTAGCTTTTATAATTTATTGGTTTTGGGAAGCTGCGAGATATTAATTTAAAAAAATAATGACGCTAACGCGTAGTATCTTCTTATCTAATGAAGTTTTTTTAACAGTTTGTTGGACGTTAATTTAATTCAAATTAGAATGGAATCGTTGCCCGAAAATTTCGATCACTTTTTGAAGGGACAAAAAACTAATTAATAAGATTTTCGAATTCTAATTGACGAGTAATTTAAATTCTTTGACCAACAATAATGATCCCATCAATCCAGTTTTATTTTCCGAATAACTTTTAATTAAAAATATTATTCCATTGGCACGTCCTTTCTTATCTTCATTCGTTTCATCAGATGTGGTCTTTATCAAAAAATTATGCGTATCATTCCCAATAAAAAAACCAAAATTTTATTCGTTTTTCTCCAATCAATTAGTAATGAATGAGTTAACAAAACCGGGCAGAGATAATGCGAGAGTATAAGGAATCAGAGTGATCCACCAATTATACTCGAATTAGCTGATCAAGCTCATTGGAATCCTCTACCTGCGCCTAATTAGACAACGATTAGTCATTTTGTTGGCCATTTTCGATATCTGCTTATACCGGCCAGATAACACTACTAATTTAAAGCTCGGTGGAACTAATTTTCACGAATACACTCTTCGTATTATTAAGCCGAGAGAGCCTCCGAATACGAGGCGAATAAAACATCTCCAAGGACGCCACCGAGTGAAATTAACAATCACAAAAAGCGGTTACAAGAAATTGATTGCAACATAGTATTTTATATACAAGAGCTACAAGACCATCGTTTATTTATACCAATAAAATACGAGCACAATTTATTTAATTATTAACTTTATTTTAACGGCCTGTTGCAAAATATATGATTAATTTTCGTTTATTGAACTTATTGATTGCATGATTTTATACCATGAGTTCTAACTCAAACAACTGGGTAAATTGTATATTTGAGTTACATTGGAGTTGTAAAGCAAGATCCTCCATATATTATTGGTGAGCGGAGGGATCCATTCGAATTTCATTCCATTTGCTACGGACTTTCCACGATTCCGAACTGTCCCTTTTAATAAATTTATATCTTCATTATCTCGACCACCGTGCTCACAATAAAAAACTCGTGAAATCTCGTATAAAATCATAAGAGCGCGGGCAATAAAGAAAGAAAAAAAGTACTGCGTCGGGTGATACACATCAAGATGAAAGAGTAGGCGAGCTGTGAAACGGTTCACTACGGTTCATGAGAAACCTGTGCACAACCGCTTATCCCGTGACGGAATCGCTGATGGTGTCACTACTAGGCCGCTAACTGGGATATTAATATTCTTGTAACGAATTAGAAGAATAATAAAAAATGTTAAGTGTCGCTTCGGTTTCGACCGTTCCGGAACGACTCAATTTTCCTCTGCAGCCCTAAAACGGGAAACCCGCTGCGAGGATTCGTATTGGTTTGCGAAGGAATTTCCCAATGAGTTTATTTGTAGAGCGGACTGAATTATGTCCGAAATAAAAGCCTAATCATAGTTATAATTTATGGAAAATAACCGATAAAAAGATACCGGTCGATCTGAATGCGATCGCTGCGATAATAGTCGGGGAACTAGCGGCCGGCCGAACGGAATTCGACGGTTCCTGAACAGCAGCAGGAATAATTTCACGAAGCAGAGGCGAAGTTTAGGAGGAGTCGCAAGAGGTATGTTATTATATTTATTTGTGGTTGCGTTTTGCGGTCGGCTACGTGGTAGGTATCACTTTGTGGAATAACAAAAACACTTTTTTATAATTAGGTATTTTACAATTTTCAGGTATAATAACTGGCATGCCCGGTAAAAAAACATTTAAATTATGTTATCCGTTTCATCGATTTCAATCCGATCGTATATTTATTTTAATAGCTGTAAATAATGCGTATATACGAAACCGTGGATGTTCGTATTTAACTTTGTACGTACGCCTCTGTTGGAATTCGTTGGTTCCTGAACGACAGTAGGAATATTTTTACTGACAGTATTGGTCGTTCCCACGCTCGAAGTGGCCGAGAAATTCTTCAAGTAGCTCTGTACATCACTTGACAGGCGATATTTTCAGCATTTCTACCATTTTTTTTATTCGGGATGGCAAAAATTTATTTCGACCAATTACCTCTCTCAACATAAACCAAATCGCAGTGATAAATTACGTTTTGTTTCATAAAAAAATGCCCGCGAAAGTCGGACTATTAAAATGACAAAAAAATCCAGTTGCCAGCTATTATCTACCTCCGTTTCGATATTTAGACAAGACGTTCCTTCATTTAATGTGACCGTTTCGGATGAATTTCCAGACGGACTTTTTGCCATTCTTCATCCAACGAATTCACATCAAAAATAATTACTAAATTCATTCGTCTATCTACTCATGAACTTTTCTTAATAATCCTCTCCTTATATCGTTCGAGTACTTCTATTCCTTCCCTCGTATACAACGTTTAAATTTAAAATGCAACTACCGGGTATTTAATCAAAAAACCAGAAAAATCATCGTTGAAACGTTAACAAAACCGGCAATATTTATTCCTCGAATTATCTGTTTTCATTCACCGCAAAATGAAGACATAAGCGCTCGACCACAACAACGAAACGAGAAACCGCACAGCGCTCATTTAATTGTACTTCCTCGGAAAGGCAACTTTGATCCGAAACACAGAGCGATTACCAATCAAAAACCGTGAAATGATCGATTGGTCACGACAACACATCATTGATAACGCTAAATCAGGATCAACTGATGAAAAAAAAATGGAATTAGTAGCCGGAAATTTATATAGTACAAGGGCTGATTGATGCAACGTATTAATCCTTTAATTAATTAAAATATATACGGTTATTTTATTTTTTTTATTCGAACATCAATCTAATGTTTAATCATTAATCAATCCAATAAAATTTATCTACGGAATAAATTATACTGTAGGCGTTTATAATAAAAACAGTTATGCTTACCTATTGAAAATAATTTAAATATTTTATGTTTCCTGTTGCACCGATGGACTTCGATGGACCACGGACTAAAATTTAATGTCTGTTTTAATGCGGTCCGAGTTCTGGTGGTCCGTTTTTTCGGGAATTTATTTCTTTTAATACTTGTTGCTTTCCAATTTTCATCGTGTGTTTCAATTGAGTAATTCAATTTCGCGTCTTCGTTCATAAAAGAACTCTCAAATATCCCCGTGAATAACCCAATCAATAATTAATTAACGTACAAACTTTCACAATTAGCAGGTAATTCATCACATATCGCATAGAAAACGATTCATTGAATAAAATTGCATGTCATAATATTTAAAGATTGCTCTAATGGAAATTTAATACATCCAACGATTTAGGTATAATTAACGAAGTAATTAGCATTTCGATTCAAATGTACTGTCGCTTTTTTCGAACAGAATCGATTTCTTGACGTTAAATGTTAAATGAATTTAAAGTGCCTGTCGAATAAAAGCGAACTGGACTATTCCGGTAAAAAATGCTCTCGAGACTGGTGGCACCAGCAAAACTGCAACAAGATGTAAATATAATAATTTCCATTCATAAATATTTTGACCGTATTTTAGTAAAATTTATGTAAGCAGGCACAGAAATGATGAACCTGTTTCGCTACAAAAGGCCAAGCTACTTGTTGTCATACATATCAAATGTATACCTGTCAATCAAGCAAAGTTCCCGTACGTCGTTCTTGTTTGACTGATCAACCAGTAAATTTAAAATCGCAAAAACCGTACATATTTGTTTTACTAATTTTTTCATGTTTTTATTGTTGTAATTGAAATGCGTTTGTGTTTTTACTTTTACCTTTTCGTAAGCGATGTTCGCATTATGAGAGCAAAACTTCGATCTCCGACAAAAACCAGAAATTGAACCACTTGTTGTCTTGTCAATTTTTTTCGGAAAATTTCGAAAAAACGCTCACGTTCAACGATTAATTTGTAAAGTAAAAATGAAAACCTTACAAATTTAATAAGAGATAAAAAAATAAATGTAATTTTTATTATACTTTTTATTTAATTCTTTCTTTTGTGTACAAGAATGGAATAGAAAATAATTCAAAAATATATACAACGTTTTTGACTATTTACAAAAAAAATCAATTTACAAATTATGAATAAATTAATATGAAATATAAAAAGTTAAATAAATAAAGTATTATACAAGTTGAGATACTACGCTGATTTATTTATTTACATGCGAATAAATTAATTAATACGTTAAGAATTTCTTACAACGCCTGTGAATTTATAGATTTTAGGGAGAAATTTAGATATTTTGGAAATGGGAAATGGTCCTTAGTAAAAAACTTCTCATTATCTTTTAATTATCAAAATAATGTAAAATTCCAAATCGGGTCATTTTCCCATTGCCACACCTGAAAAATAATGTAGAAGACACGCTACTGAGTATCAAGTAAGTTTACAGAAAAGATGTATTTTCTCATTAAAAATCACTGGGTTTCTTTCCCCACATGTAGGTAGAGATCATCCACGTCTCCAAATATTATATACAAATTACTAACTACAAACTAACAGTCAGTCTTTCTATTTTATACAAATTACATAATACTGATGAAAAAAAACCTTTTAATAACTTGCAGCACGTTATGTTATTGTCTAGTTTATAGTACGTTAAAATCTTGCTCTCTGATTCTGAATAAAACGGCGAGAAATTTAGTTTAAACGCACGTATGTATAGTTTTCCTTGTTCTACAAATGTCGCATTTCACCTCACAACACCAATGAAAAGTACAATTACACCGTTCGACGACGACGATTTCTTGGGTGCGATACCCTCTACCGCAGCACATGATATCACAACCCTCCACCCCCATCGAGGTGTCGTTGCAGTGCCTTCCGTGCGTCCCCTGTATACCCAGCTTGGGGTTCTTCTCGCAAAATCCCGGCGACATCTCGTAGTAAACCAAATCCTTCACGCCCGGCGGCTTGTGCTCGGGATTGAACGGCTTCAGCTGGAAGTTGTACTTGTGCAGCTTCCTGCGGTTCTCGCGCTTGGCGTGGATGCTGTTCGACATGATGGAGTTCATGCGCGGGTGCTTCAGCCTGTTGCTGTGGCCTTTGTTGTTGTTCCTGCCGTTGCCGCCGTTCGACGCCGTGACGTGCGAGGCGCCGTCGAACCTATCCTTCAGCAGGTCCCCGATCACCCTGAACGAGGGCAGCCGCATCCAGCAGGTCTTCACCGTGCAGGAGCCCGACATGCCGTGGCACTTGCATTCCTGTCTCATCTGAGATTGGACGTGCTGCAACAAATACAAGAAGCTTATTAATTTGCGTATAAAAAGAATATTTCGTGGCGAAATTCAGTCGCTTTTACTATATGGCAATGACGAAGCCGGAGCGAGTCATTAATTATAAAGCACTCTGTGTACTTTTCCACTATTTAGTCTGGAATTGGAGTACGTCCGAAGAACAAATCGCGGCGGTGCGTTCATTTCTCAAAGTGACAGCGCTCGCTTCACGTACCAATATTTATGTTGGCAGTCGTGATTGCACGAATTCTGGTCGATATATATTTTCTTTGAAGTCGATACCACTAATGAGAGGAGATATTTTCTTCTATTTATCTTCCTCAATTAATTTCGCCGATAGGAAAAGTAGTTCGAGGGTGAAATACAGCCGGCTAATTTCGCTTCAACTGACAGGGAGATGTTCGAAAGCGCCGATAAAAATTAAGTTATTTTTAAGTGCCTGCGATTACGCGCCCGTCATAATTCGTTATAAGATAGAAGACGCGCGGGGTCTGGACGAGCCGTTTCGAATGCATGAAAATTTATTTCGTTAATTAGCGTTCGGTTTATTATAAACAATGCAACCGGATACATTTTCGTTTGCCACGCCGTAATGACCTCACCGAGTAAACACCGAGAAAGCCAAAACAGGCGATTTAATTTAAAAAGTCGGCTCAATTGAATTAAGCGAAACGCGCTGAAATTAGAGTAATGTTGCGAAATATTTTTAGCCGATAAAAGACGAGAAATAAGAACGATTCGATTTTTCAACGACAAGTTCTAGGCTTCGAGCCAATCATAAATTAGTGTAATTACCTCGGCATAAACCACTTAAGTAATAAAATATTCAAGCGTGAAAAGATTTACGGAACAGTTGCGGTGCCCGTGAGGAAAAGCACGGAATAATATGCAAATCGGGTTTAATTCTTCACGAAACGTTTAATTCCGACAGTAAGTACTTTCAAAAGTAATTATTCTAACTCACTCGATACGACTTCATTGCGACCCGCTGGTACTGCTTTGCGCAATTTTCTTAATTCGACGATTAGTAGATTGTTAGTCGATCAGATTGTGCATAAAATTGAAATTAGCTGTTAGTTTGTAAATAATTACATAATGATCTACTTCAATAGGAACGCTTTTATAACGCTCAAACCACTCATTTCGAGTATCTACGCAATAACATCGAATTTCCCTATACTTTCTTACGAAGGCATTGGCAATTTACACCTGAATCTTTTAATTAGATGCAAGTACCTCGCTTTTAAATCGTAAAAACCCGAAGATAACGTTCTTAAAAGGTAACTAATTTGTACTTGTAATTTGTCCTCATAAGTATTCTGCGGCCATAAGAAGTAATAGGACACCCTATGGGGCCCAGATGTCTCTTATATGTGCAAGAGCCTATCCGACTCCCCGTGGCGAAACACCGTATTACACGGGTTAATGCTAGCACAAACATGTGTTTCTTACCTTTTAAATCCAGGACCGGTGCTACTTAAATAATAGACTTACTGCGCCTAGTAGCGTTTAAAGATATAAATAATGGGAGCGGTTTTTTTCGAATGCCGGCGGATTTATACGTCGGCTTGTTGCGCACGTCTCAGGAAGCTGAAACGTTGACGAATGCGATAAAAATATGAACGAATAAAACGCGAGCAAATCGCGAATAGATGCGTGTAAGATAAAATTAATAAGGCGCCTAATCAAACAAAAAGCCGACAGCGAAGGTGTGTCTACAAATGGAAAATTAATTTTGATGAGATAATACAAATTGCCTATTAATTGTCGATATTTGAAATTTAAATGAATAAAAATTTCAATAACAAAGCGTTTTGTTATGATGATGGATAAGGAAAATTTAGTAAAGCTGATGGATTTATTATCAATGCATAGAATAATTATTATAGAAACATACATTTTCAGTAGATAAGTGCATCAAGCTTATAAAAAAAACTGATTTTTAGTTGTAAATACTATAAAAATTATCTAGATCTTTGCAACAAAATGGCTTGCTCTGGTCCTGGTCTAACCGTATATGAAATCACGGAAAATTAATGGTACGATAACGGCCCGACTTCTTTTTCTCGACTTTTGCCTTAACAGTCACGGGTTAAAGCGTGTTTTGCAAGTTAAATAAAAGGATATTATAAGGTTGAAGTCATGTCCGCAAGAATTAGAATTTTTTTAACTAATCCTCACGATTCGCGAAACCCAATGTAAATTATCCAATACGCTTCATCCCGTCTCTTCGGCTTCACACAATCGGATATACACACTCGGTGTTATTGTATTTTTTTAAATATAGGAATATTTAGTACCTTAAAAATGAACTTTTTGCGTTGACAAAATCAATCAAAATGATTTGTGATTACAACACGAAGAGTAAAAAGTGATTTGTCACACTTGGCAGAACGAACATCAAGGAACGAACATTAATCTAGGAAGGACGAGATGTTGTTTAGATAATCCTGACTGCTAGTTATTTTTATTTCGTATATATTGCCTTCGGCCAGCGCTATACATTTTCGACGTTTCTTTTTACCTTAATTCGTGTAAAGAATTTGACAAAAATCCAAGCGAGGCTCATTTCGAAAACAGAAACCTCCGTATCCGAGATTATCTGAAATATTTCATCGGTACGATTCCACGCATTGATTAAAGTTATTCACATTGAGAGCTGGCATCTCACTAATGAAAAAATCCGAGCGCAACGAAACCTGCATTACGGGACAGCTACGGCGGCTTAATAAAAATATCAAAATAAATTTTAGCCGCCTTGAGCGAATGTTGCTTTATTAGTAATGTGTGGTCTACGCGGTCAACAGCAAGTTATTAGTTATTATACATTTTAATATGTAACTTAATAAGACCACCCGGTAGTAATCACTGGTTTTCGCATAAATCAAACCCTTTTCTCACACCAGACGTCGTTATAAAGTTTTAATTTTTTATACTCAAAGATTAGAATGCCGTGTAAAAAAATTATTCGAACACGGAATCTTCGTCGAGGATTATAGGTATTAATTTAATGCAACTTAAACAACCATCGCCGGTAATGGTGATGCAGCAACGCTTCCTTTCCGATGTCTTAATTTAGAAGGAAATGATTATGGTGATGGAGCCAAGACTAACGTTGATTTATTTGCTTCATCAAGCGCCGATCTTTAATAATTTACTCACACTGTTTGACTAATAATTTTCTTCATACAATTGCCATATTAGAAGAAACCAAACATATCAAGGTTGCAAAACTCCAATACATATACTCACCCATCGTCCCGCCTCGTTGTTGTGCAGATTGATCTTCTCCCGGAGGCTCTTGCCGCGCTCTCCCGTGTCCACGAACTCCCTGCTGACGTCGAAGCCGAAGCCGATGTTGTCCGAGCAGCCGCCCCACTCGAAGTCCCGCACGTTGGCGACGGCGGCGGCGTTGTTGCCGTTGGCGAACACCTGCGGCCGCCCCTTGTAGTGCGTGTCGCAGTTGCAGGTATCGATCGTGCCCTCGCTACAAGCTCTGGCTATCGCGTGGGTCACCGCCGCCGATGTTATGGCGTAGATGAAGGACGTTTCTCGACAACCTGGAACAGAAATGAAGCTGTTAGTGTTGCTAATTGACTCACTGGGTACTTTTTAAGCGAGAGACAGTGGAAGAGAATTGGTAGATTTTCGAATCTTTTATAACATCGATACGAGCAAAAACAGGTTGAAGTCCTTCTGCCAGATGGTGGAGAAGACACCCGCAATTAACAATAATCTCGAATTCGTCTCACGAATTGATATCGGGAGTATACCGGAAAGTCTAGGTAGCAATTTATCCCCAGGGAGCCATCCTTTACGGCCGTAAGATTACTTTATCGCATAGAAAATTACATTCGCTGCCATTTAGATTTAATAATGGTGTACTGGGCAACGTTTTACGGGCACAAAGGCGAAGGCGTGATCCATTTTCAACGATGAAGGGCTATTTACACGTGAAACCGACGGCGGTACACAAAGGATATCCGGTTTTAAAAAGAGGATTTTTTAATACCAGGATTATTTTTTTTGTGAACTATAGTTTCAGTCATTATACAAGAATTAAAATTAATCAAAAACAGTTGCACGAAAATAAATTGCGATGTTTCCTAAAAATAAGCACTAATTGAAACAACAAACACTAACTTAACTATTTTATTTATTATCTTAATCATATATCAAAAATAAAATGTGTTACTCTCCCAGAAATTTCACAACTTTTTTATATACCAAGCACTGAAATGTCCACTGATTGCATCTTAATTTCCCGTTTGATTCTATTAATTCGTGCATGCAGCGAGTTTTTATTTATGGCAATTCACGGGAGAAAGTCACTGCACAACTGCAGCACAAATTTGATTCGAAAATGCTCGTATTCTCCGAACAATTACCTAATTTTTGCCAAGCATGTAATAAATTACCTATTATTTACTCGGCATAACAAATGCGCATTGTTACCCCGAGACTACCGTGCCTGAATGCCTAATCATAAATCTATAATGAAGAATACCAGCAACTGCTATGCCCGGCTATTTTTTAGAACGTTGAATGAGAGCCAATTAAAGCGGAAAGCTGTTAGAAAATCATTGCAGGTACTTTTACACTCTGTTGTTGAGATGGAAATTCGAGAGAGCTAAATTATCAACTATTGAATTTGTTGTTATTTTTATTATTATCATTATCATAAATTTGGCGAATAATGTTGGTGTAATTAAGAGAGGAGTTGCATATTTGTGGTGTTTAAGGTTTATTTTTATTTATGAAATACTGATGTATTGGCAGGCACGAATGAAAAATACCAAGTTAATAAGGCATTTACAACTGACACTCAATAGTTCGCGTGGGCTAAGGCTCTACAGGTGTCCCGCGGTGCATTATTCAGGGTGGCAGGTAGATGTTAGCATACAAAATACATCTTCATTCCTATGATTTAATGGTCTGCCGTGATTTTATATTGCCACAACAAGTAATTAAATGACCGTGGCTCCATTGAAGATTGTTACTGGGTTCATAGTCGTTTTTTGGTACTGCCAATTTGACGATTAACTCGGTTCTACGAACGACATTTCGATGTTCCTTAGGCTTTAATGCCTTCGGGAATTAATCTGACAACTCGAAAACCTATAAATTTTTTACTTTATTGGAATTCTATTTGTGAAGTGTTGACTTTGGTTTTTCAATAATAAATAACAACAAATTGAAATGTTTCGTATAGCGATAAATAACGGATTAAGATTTGTTTTATAATTTACTGGTTAATAAAAAAATCAGTTTCAATGTTAATGGTTAAATCCACAAAAGACGAATAATAAAAATTTTAGTGCACCTACCAGTTTAATTAAAAACAAACAAAATCTAATGCTAATTATATTTTTCAACTTAAATGTAATTAATCGTGAACACATCATCGCCGGTTAAATCACAATAGCGTTTGAAGTTTGCCAAGAGAACCTTCACTTTTACTTGTTAGTCATTTCTGCCTACTAACTACTGGAATCCAAATGATTATTTTCTATAACTGGCAACTATTAATTACCGATTTTACACCTGACGCTATAATTGCACAAATAAGAAGTTATTCTACTCGTTAATGTTCTAATCGTATTGAAATAACGCGAATAAATGTTCGTGTCTAATGACATGATTGGTTACAATATTGAAAAGGCATAATTCACGGTGTATGATGATGAGTTAGACGCGGTCGAATCGCAGGAAGGTATAAGAATTTTATGTTATTAAAAGTTGTTTGTAAAATGTTAATTATATATGAACTGTTGTAAACAAGTGTTAGATGTAATTAGGTAGGTGGGTTTGAAATGCTTTGTCATCGAGTTAATTTTTATTGGCTTGTGTTATAGATTTATTTCTAAGAAAATGAATAATGATTCAGTAGGATGTAAGAATGAGGATTTTGGGTGATGATGAATTGTTAATTCATCTCTATTAAGAAACAATAAATATTCCAGTGACGAATGTATTTTTCTACCTATAGTAAAATTTTTAAATTATTATACCCTTAATGAACATTTTTACGATAATTAGTTTTCAGTTTAATTACGGTGGTAAGATGCAAGACTAGGTACATAAAATTTCATGATCAATAAGAAAATAAAAAATTAACACCCATAATAAATGCATAATGACTACATTACACATTCTGTGGAAAAATAAATTTAAAAAAAATTATAATTAAATTACAACCTTTCCATCGACTCGGTTGTTTTTAATCAATTTCTTCATCAGAACGCCGGATTTAAAAAATTAGGATGATAAAGCGATATTTCAATCAGACAAGGAATATAAAAAACCACGAAAAGTTGCCCGTCCAACCGCTAATTTACTCACATTAAGGTTGTTTGTCCGCCTAAATTAATATTTATATTCCATAATTACAAACCACCGCGACAAAGGTAATAACCAATAACACGATTAAAACCTACATTTAGAAAGAGTGTTAAAACCTTAAACATTTCTCGAGATATCTGTGCGATCCCGACCGTACGATATGAGTTATCGACGAACGATAATCTTCGCCCCCTGTGGACGAGCTGGGTAATTACGTCATCACTGGAATACCCGCAGAGAACGATGATGTATAGCCTTTGGGCTAACGTTATGCCGTTGGTATTGTTATAAAACACTCTTCTATATCGCTTATTAAAAAATATATACTTTGTCTTCGAAATCTATAAATTTTTCATCTCTTCTTTTTCATCATCTCTTCAACATAAATAATTTATAGGCTGCACAATTAGTATCTACAGCTATAGGAAAGTAAAAGGATAATTATTATTTTGTAATTTAATCGTTTGATTAATAAAATGTCATTAATGAGGAGTAAGTTATATCTCAAAACGTTGAGCATTTACTCCTCGCGGTCGATTTAACAGGAGACACAACTGAAATTGACGCCTCTCTTTTATAAACGAAAAACGTCAGCTATTATCGGAATCTCCGGAACCCGGTCTGTGCGTTCGATTATTGATTAAAGACTCAAATTACCGATCAATTCCCACTAATAGTCTTTAACTTATAGATCCTCTATCAGGTAAAAATAACAAATCGCTCCTTTGGTTCCGAAGATCTGACGATAAAAGACTACCCGAAATATCACTTTACTTTTTTTCCATTCCCATATACCTGATTCCGTTTTCTTTTATGTTAAATCGAGTCGATTTCGTTACTGTCCCGAAAATTATTTTAATTAGCCTTTGACAAATTGATCGCTCTCAGCGAACCAGATTGTAGTATTAATAGGCCATTAAGGAAATTAGAATAACATGTTCTCAGGCCAATCTTCGAGACTTTATGGATGATTTCAGTATTTCACTGACGTTTTTCGTATCGGTAAAAAATACTTTTAATCGAATTTCTCGCGCTGATAAATCCTTATGCAACCTAAATCTAATTACATACGTGTCGGTAATTTACGAATTTAAATACATAACACAACTAATCAAGATATACACGCACTTTGAAATTGATTAACACCGCGTACGATCGTAACGTGGAATTATAGCTTCCTATTGAGAAACAAGTCTTTCGAATACGCCAATTTCAATTCTATAAATAGTGCGTACTTTTAAGTTTATCGCCGATTTCAAAGCGGTATCCTGTTTTAATATCTCAAACGTGTAACACATTTAATGGCTGGTGTCAATACCATATTTTCCCATCGCTAAAGAACAAAAATTAAATCGAACACCATTATGACATACGATGAGCATCAAATAAAGTATTATAAATTTAGCGACGCAATTAAATACGTGTATCGCTTCCTTATCATGCAAATTTCGCGGTAGAATCACATCCGCCCATTCTCTTCCACCCCACATATGCATATGAATAAACCGAGCGCCCCAGCGTCGGGCTAATAATGAGCGTGGAGTGTTTTTTTAGGTCCGGTAATATATTTGTCATTTGTCAAAGGGGGCATACAAAGACGTGCATGTCCAGATGTTAGCCAGTTAAACAACTCTTTCCTTTGTCGCCGCTCTAAGTGGACACGTAAAATAGAATTGAACTCAATTACTCTTTGTGTATCATCGGTTCGACGCAGAAAAGGGAATGTCAAACAAATACTTAATTACGTATAACAGCTTAAATAAATTTCGATAGAAATTAACGTACAGTGAAATGTCAGTAACTAAATCATAAAATAATTGAGTCGTTTTTGTCGAGCGAAAGAAGAACAATGCGAAAGTGTATCGGCGACATACAAAAAAAATTACAAATTGAAATGAAGCTGGCAATAATATTCTAAGATTTATCGTGGCAACGACAGCGCGATCGGTATTAAAAAATGGATATATGATCAATACTTGGCATACTTCAACGCGAGACATCCAGTACTGTTTTTCAACATGGCTATAAACAACGGGAATCATAGTAGAGCTGTCATACTCGAAGTTAAGAGTCATTATATGTTTATTATTACCTTAAGTGTAGGATATATGATATGGAGTGTGTGTACGAGCATGCCCTTTCGTTCTCGACGGGTTTTGTACGCTCACGAACCAAACCAGAAACGTTTCATTCTCTTTTTATTTATGATAGATTTTAGTTAGAATATTTCACTTTGTATGAATATGTTATTCTTTGTACACATGTGTTTAAATTACTCACCTCTATCGACGATTTTCCCGAATAAATTCTTCCCTCGAAGGAAATTCCTGGTGGAACAATTCCACCGTTGGTTCCTGAATTGAAACTGGCATTCGTTTATCGCCATTTTGGCGCCTTTGGCGATGGCGTCCAAAAGACCAGGATTCTCCCTGGCTAGTCGCCTCTGCTTCCTCCGGAGAGTGCCGTAGTACGCCGAGGAATCTAGGTAGGGAACTCCGGGGGAAAGGGGTGATAGGTTGTTTGGTTCCCCAGCTTTCGCGATACCCCTGAAACAAATATTAAAACCGATTAATTACCTACAAATTATTAAGTAATAGGGCGTTATTTTATGGTGCGATGCGAGAATAGAGTGTATTTTTAAGGACTCTTCCAGTCGAAGAAAAACCATCACCCGAAAGGCCTCGGTGTCGTAACGCTCAAACAATCTTTATTGGTTTTAAAGGTACAATTTTATTTGACTTTCTTTTTATTTGTTTGACGACGGCAAACAATCGGGACCTCCTATTTGCAAATAGATCTCACCCATCCAGAGATTTTTTTAAATAATTTTTATCTCTTAGCAAACGAATAACGAGCATGCAATGCACTCTCTCAGACGTAAAGATCATAAAAAGTTATTGGAAGATTCTGTGACAATTGTTTGCTCGTTTCATTGTTGGAAATATCTAGACGTATTCGTCATTCACGAGTATAATAAGCTGATATAGTTAATTAGAGTAGTTTCACTAGTGATTTATCCAGCATATGGTTAAATTAATTGATCCAGTTTTTGATAAATTAGATACCACGTCTTCGCTGGTCGGTGACCTACTGTATTAATACCTTTACGGAATGGAATTTCGTGATTTAACAGTATCTCAATCTTAATTGCAAAAAGCACACAATTCCAAAAATGACGAACCAGGAATAAGGAGTCGAGAGCGTGAGAACGGCGATCATCGTTATCTATACTTCTTGTCTTGGCCATACGTTAACCCCTTATCTCAAAATACCTTCGCCAAAGGTATGTCACCCGGGACCGACAAAAAACTAGCCACTACTGAGCACTAATACGAAGATTCTTCGAGTTCGTGTCTGTGACAGGGCCGTGCCGATTACGAAACAAAAAATTTGTTCCACATTTTTTCGAAAAATTCATACCTATTGCTATTTTAATTGCACGATTTTTAATATCTTTGATCTTTGGTTCAGTTTTTGCTAAGTTATATCGCTCCAAAATGAATCATTTACATCGTACTTTATATTATAAAACAACAATTATTGCTTTACACTTGTTGGGTACAATTTTTCAATCCACTGGTTTGGATGGGACTCTGTTAACCAGTCGAAAGTTTCAAATTTAATTGAACGCAATCAGGCTGTTTAAAATAATTAAAATAAAATATATTGGGGTCCGCACGGCCCATTGTCATCCCCGAAACGAAGCAACCCTTCTACACGTGATTTATCTAAAGAACAGAGACAGCTGAAAAATGAAGCAGGCCTCGCAGACAAATGACCGTGACTGGAAACGCATTCACCCGAGGTGTTCCAGATAGCTCGCCCTAATTTTATACAGGATATTTGTTTCGTCTACTGTCGATGATAGCTGTTTCGATTTTTACATCTCTCAAATCGGCGCGATTGCTGACGAACAATCATCATTTTAAGCAATTTAGGCCGGATTTTTTTTGTGTAAATAAATAATCGCGATCGATAAGGTAAATTTGCTTAAAAATATTAAACCTGCCTGTACATTTGCAATGGTTGTTGTTTGAACAAGATAAAACGAGTAGGTAATGCGATACGTTTGTTACATCTATTGGATGAATAATTGTTTAATGTGTAATTGATATAATTGTTTAAATACCTACCCATTTTTGCGATAAAAACTTGAAAAAAGCATTAAGTGTTTTTAATTTAATATATTTCTCTTTTTAAAAATGTAAAAATGTAAAATGTAATAGAAATTCCTGAGGTATACTTGATATAACTTCTCGACGTTAGAAATCGCTGCTCTCGGTCGCTAGTTTGTTCAAAATGACGACATTTTCATCATAATGCCGTTGACTCAAAATTAAACAACAGCACTATGGTTAAAATGTCAACAATTTAAACAGTATTTATTTTTCTGGCGTTTCCTCTTCACGTTTCTCGAAAGGAACAAATATATGTTGAACACATTTTTCAGTTTAAATATTCAATACCAAAAATTCTTTACAGCTCCTCAAATTAGAACAAATTTATACGAATCGATTGATTTTCACTAGCTACAACATATCTGCTTCATTAAAATCAAAAAAAAATTCAAAATTTTCAGAACTCTTAAATGAAAAATTCCCTTCGAGGAAGTTCGAACGTGTACCGTTAAAATTCGTACAATAAATGAATTTCTATACTACACACGAACGCACACGCATATGCCAAGGAGAACTGTTGATATTACTAATTGTTTGAAAAGCTGCTAAAAGCAATAATATTCATCCGCGCGAAAAGAATTCAATAGGCACACAGACGAGGAACTCGGTTCCGCATTTTAACGGTGCTTCTATACCTAATAGCGGTCAGTCAGTCGGTAAGTTCGAGCGTTAAAGATTACCTTACACGAGTTTGTTCTTAACTTAGGCTCGACAAAAAGGCACGTGATGATTATTTTTTAACAATTAATTAGTCTATAAGTCATGAGGAACGTAAATCCTAGACATCAGTTAAAGATTTGTACATTATAATGTTGAAAAATTAAAGATATCTTTATAAATTTGAAATTCGTTTGATTTTATAAATAATTATGAGTGCAGATCACTTAGAAATTCTAACTAAAACCGCTTCTAGGCAGCTAAACTCGATTCGTTAAGTTATTGTTGTGCGCTTAATAAAAAGATTTATATTTATATATAAAATTGCAAATAGTTGCAAAGAAATCATTATTCCCTTCTAAGGTATTCTATTACTCACGGCGGTTTTGCATTCAATAGAACAATTTGTCACTATGTTTCACTCTTCAATGGTTTAAATAAATCAAGTAGATAGATTGGTGTTCAACAATTACCGAGAAAGGAGCAGTAACAAATAATTAAAGTGGAATAATTAAATCGGTGCGGAATATTGGAAAATACCGTGAGATTGTTTGTATGAAGAGGGAATTATTTATTTATCCGAAATGATGGTTTAAATAGAACACGCCGTTTCAATGAATTTAAAATAGACTAGAAATGTCAACGCTGGCAGCTTTCCAGTTAGGTAAACGAACCACTTTATCAAAATATCAATTATACGAAATTAAAAGCGCATTTCATATTCGCATTTGCGATGTGAAATATGTAAATAGGAACAATAAATCAAAGTCCTATTAATAAATAAACGACGTTAGAATAATAATAAAGCACCTGCTTTCATGCACCGACTTTTTTAATGATATTTAATCATTGCCGTTTAAAATTATGCAACACCTCACTTTTACACAATTAGTTGTGCATTAGATATTGATGTGCGCATTTCGGAATATTCTCCGCGATCAAATTAGAGTACAAATTCCGGTCAATATATATCCTCGGACAATTTCATCTTGCGCTTCTTCGGCCCATCGGTCCGATGCAATTTTTCTCGTGCGCTTCGAAATCAATCTTTCCCCGTTCAGAGATGATATCTGCGGACTTCCAAATCGCGGCACGTATCTCGGTCGCCCGAATTTTCTAAAACGTTTCATTAAAAGTTCGGTCACATCGTCGCGGACTGACAGACGAGATTTAGAGGATGGCGTTCGTGCCCGTGTACAGGCCGAGTTGGCGCGTATACATCACAAGTTGTCAGCTACCGTCTTCTTTTGATAGACAGGGTACTTATCGAAACCATCATCGGCATTGAAATTCATCGGATTTTTCGATTTGCCGTCGATTTGTGCGTGCGTTTGGCCAAATTCGCGGACGAAACTGTTTTTTAATTGTTCGCTAGGAAACGTAAATAAAAATTATTATTTTTAATTAACGAAACTGGGAGATCGTTAAATTGCTGTTTCTATTTGCGCGACCACTTAGGTGTAATAAAAAAATCGCAATTAACGCTTTCACGACTTCAAAGATTAGGTTTTTTAAACTCAAAATGATAGTATGTATATACTTTAATATTTTAGTATTTTATTGTTTAATGCCCAAAACCAGCTAAAATAACTAATTTTGTTAAAAAAAACCGTCGAGAGTCATGCAGTAATTGATCATAAATGCTTATTTTTTTAAGTATCAGCTGGTATTGTTAAAAACCCTTTGTACAATTCGTACAAATAAAATAATTTACTGCTTTTAAGGTAAGCAGTAAAGTTTCTTCAGAAATTGATGCAAATAAACTAAAATTAGCATCTCATGAATAATTCATTAGTTGTGAGTATTCCTCTGGATACTTTATGATCTCTTTAATGTGTGTGTACAGTAATTAAATGTGGAAGCTCGAGGTTTCATTGCTGTTTCCACAAATTTATATTTTTTTGTAATATATCTGATATATCTCTTACTAATTATAAACAATTTTCAATGCACTACTTGGATTCTCATGGATTTTATAACGGAATTTAGTTTAACTTATTATTACAATTTAAACATCAGATATACCATAGATCTAGATCAAATATTGTTGGAAAAGTTGTGCTGTCGAAGTTATACATTACTTATTAGTTATATATTACTTATTACTCATTACCTATTTTAGTAAATGAGTTATTTGGTATATCTAATGAGCTTTCCACAAAAAGGTGGAAAATATCTAAAATAAATAAGTAGATATTTGTTATAACTATATCATTTACAAAAAATAAGGCCTACTAAATTTTTAACCTTGTATCTAGGTTTCTATCTCTATTGACTTCTCTTATGTAAGTGCTGCAATGTTACTCATTTTCACTATAGAAAGTAAAATGACCTATGCAAATTTTTTAATTAATAAATTAGCAATAATTTTTGTATCTATAATTTAAATAAACTAATAATTCAAGTTTTTCATATAGCATACCTTATTCAACAGAGGGATTTTTTTGTGTAAGTGTTTGGTATTTGGTTGTTGTATAATGCTTTATTATTTTTGAAATTTATAATTTATAAATCCTGCAGTACCTATACCTACCTATACATTTTAGTATTAAGAGTAGGTACCTACCAGAAGTTTCGATTTTGTTAAGAAATTACAGTTTCTCTAAAGTCTACATAAAACTTAATAAGGATTTTTCACTTTCTATAATTGCATAATATGATGCACAATTAATTATCAAATAAAAAGATTAGTATCCCTATTTTATTTATGTAAATATATGTTATAGATGTATAAATATAAAAAATATTCGTACCACCACATAGATCCCTTCCCCCTGTTTTTGCTCCTGGCCGACATATCCCCGATATTGGTAGCCTCAGATAACGAAAGTAGCATCACAATAATCACTGTCACTTCCATATTATCGATGTCCACCCGCATCGCGTCCGTACCACGACACAGTCACAAAAAATAAACAATATCACCTGAAACTGACTGTTTAGTATTTACTTTACTTGAGGGGTTTGAGTAGGGGTGGAAGGTGTCGATCCCGGCCGAGATGCTCCGAATAATTGCTTAAGGAGGAGTTACGGGTCCTGACCACCCACCGCCGAGTCCTTTGAGATACTGACTTACCTGCACGTGTGGTCCTGCACACGTGGGTCCTTGCGCCTCCTCCTCCGACCCCCGTGGCCAATGGCGAGTCCGGACCACGCCCAAGGTCGTGTCTACATTATCGAACTGCCCGGCTTCTATGTAGCTCGGTTGAAATGCGGACCGAAAATATAATATATGGGAAAGGTATGATGTGCGGCATTTTGGCATTTCCTCCGGTTTCGCGTCGGTTTTTTTTATTCCTCCGGCGAGGAATGCGCGTTCTCTCTTCATTCATGAATGAGATAATAACGGCGGCATTTTAATTGTTAAACTTCTAAGTAGGCGACTGGTTGTTGAATTGTTGCTGTGGAAAATTTTTCGTTTTTGTTATCAAAAAATCATATCCATTTTTAAATTCTCGATTTTTTCCTTATTATTATCATTAAAGGTTTTATTGACAATTAAATTATAGATTGACAATTTCCCTGGAATTAATCCAAAATTTGTCTAACAATTTAACAGGATTCAAACTGAAATTCAATGGGATTTATATTCAAACTTTGCCATATATTTCTCAACTTAATTTTCTATTATTTCTAATCATCTATCAAAAAAAACTACCGAATAAAAATTCTAAACCTACATAGTCAGCGCCGTGAGAAAATAGTGACATTGGTTATAGAGGAATTTTTACCTCCGATATACAAGACTGCAGGAATTTCTAAAAATCATTCACCGATGCTCTTCCGATCTTCGAGTCGATGCATGATTGTTAGAATTTAATCCCTCGTCTGGTTCTCCGTCGCGTTATCATCGAATTCTAATTCCGCAGGAGATCTTCTAATTTATTTTTTCACAGTGCCTCGGTGGAGACCTCTAAAATCAATTAATTTATGTTAATGGGAGTCGCGCGGGGAAGGCCGGTGTCAACCGGGCTCCACAAATAAGGCGTCGAATTTCGACGAGGTGTAACAATTTAAAATGGACTTGTAAATCCACGTCACGTGTTAAAGATATTATGATGGATCGCCAAAACGTGCCCGGTTTATGTATTGTGATCCGAGCATACGGGATGATGAATTCCGAATGATCCATTATAGCGGTAAATGCGTGTGTAATTTTGTGAATTATAACTGAGGTTTTTAGTTATTACACGAATTTCACGTATATTTCAGAAATTGTGAAACGTATTCGTATAATAAAAACACTTTATGTCATATTAGCGTAACACTATTTTGCGAAAACTCCTTATAATACATTTCAAGAATATCTACATATTCTCGGTAGGTGTATAGGTAAATATAAAGTAATTTTATGCAGTTCATTTAGCATGAAGTGAGAAAATAACAAACCTTAAGTTTTTAGTCTCATTAAATAAAGCATAATTTTAAACGCTAATTAAACATCCTTAACTGTTCATTCAAGGTCTTAAATTATTGAAATGTATACAGAGCTCGTCTGTTTTCTTATCTAAAATAACAAAAAATTCTCTTTATAGTCGTCTAAAGTCTAGTGGTTTTGGATTCTCGACGGACTTGTCGCGCTCCCAATACGTATACCTGCACTTGCATGTTAACAGATATTTCTGAATAAACAAAATCTACAAACAGTACCATTGACAACTAACCATCGTCAATATCCTTAACAAATATGTGTTTTACGGATTATTGTGTTTTATTTTATTTACTGAATGTCACCACAGCCGGTTAAAAGAGCAAACACACTTAATTGACAGCTCTGGATTTTCTGATGTCCTCTAAAATGAATTTTCTCAGTCCTTTTGTTTCTCGAGAAAGTTTAAAGGTTTTTTTATATTCATTTAAAGAGTGAATGAGTATTTTAATTACCAACTTGTAAGTGTATAAATGATCGATAATTTTTAGAGAAATTGGTAAAACGAATGTTAAAAAAATTTTTTGTAGTTATTCACCCGGTATTAATAATTCTATTAGATAGGTTTTCGATTTTTCGTTCGTCCCACATTGCCTTTCCGTCTAATAATACACCATCTTGGAACTTATCAATAGGAGATAAATCAAAGCGGATCCTGAACACCTCAACTACGCACGAAAATTCTAACAAAGACGTGCTTTCGTCATTACATTGTTTTGACGCTATTATATTTTGTAGGCAGAAGCGCTTAGACCGTCCCAAATATTAATCAACGTCAGGACGGGTAGGTACGTCCGATTTCAGAATCCAATCGTCCAGCTCAAACACTGAAAGGTACTACCTAGAATGCACTACATGTTGAAGACCTTATAACACTAACAATCATTGTAAAAATGAGGAATTATATACGCTATAAGTGCATCGAAAATGCAAATCAATTTTAAGCATCACCATGCAGAAAAAATAGCTTCTTATAATTGAGAAATTCAAGATATTTGTATAATTATGTGCTAATTATGCATTAATAATGCGCTGCTAATTCGTTAATCATACGCTACAACGCACAACAAATTTCTTCATTATTGGTATTTTAGGGAGTTTATTTTGATCGAAAAATCAGTACCAATTTTCTCCACAGAGTTCGACTGAGCGACTAGGATAGCAGTACGAAAAAGTATATTAGTATTAATAACGGCGTACCTTTATTAATGTGTTAGTGTAAAGGCTGTGCGTGTGGTCCTGGAAGGAGGAGCACTCACCTGATGATACAGATGTTGCCAGGCCCGAGTTCAATGTGCATGCACCGATATTACAATGGTTAACTGACACCCCTCGCAACGCCACCCTCTCTTTATTTACGACGGCCAGTTGCCAGTGTATAATAGCGGAGGGAAAAGAAATATTTTAATTAAACGAAACTACAAGCAGAGGAAGCTTTTAAATCTTAAATTGTGTCGTTTAAGATAACGATTTCATATTTGCCGGAACACGTTAACGATACCCATCGAAACGTTAAAATTGCATGCACTCGAATGCATGTTTGACGTGGGATTTAAGCGGATTTTCTATCTAATAATGCCCGCAACAAAAGAGCATTGGATCGAAGTGAAATTTCTATTCTAAAGAACGAGAGGCTTTTTGTTGGTGCCTTATTCAAAGAAGCCCGGCGTAAGCAATGTTTCACATAAGTAGATGTTTTGGTACAACGATTTCAAATAGGTTTCAAGTACCTGTCATATCCGGTTGTAAAAAAATCGGCGTTTCTTTTAGAACTGTTTTGAGTACCTATATAGCTTCAGAGTAAAATGTGCACCTATTAGTATCTGAAAATTATACCTATATAGGTACTAAACTCCATGTTTTAGAGAGGAATAAGGGATACATTTTGAATCTGTTGATTTTTTTCCACTAGTTAATCATATTAAAATGTGTCTTCAATGTCTTGCAATGTGAATAGGTATCCTTTTTCTTGTATGCATTTAACAATTTATTAGATAATTTCGAAGGAATCTGGCAATCTTTAGATATGTGTTTTTAATTCCCTGTAATCGAATTAGTCCTGCTTGACACTAATCTTCTCCAACGCCAAAAAAATCAAATAATTATTTAGTGTTAAACATCTCCGGGTCCGGATCACCCAACTAGTTACGTGGAGTAGCTATACGTGTGAGGTATCATGTCTCACTATCAGGAAATAATGATCTAATATCTTGTCAAACAACAAAACGAGAATAAACACGAACGACGGACGATTTTTCACGGTTGGGCCGTAGCCGTTTTTTATTCGATAGGTATAGAAATGAATTAGTTAAAAATTAATCATAATTCGAAGGAAATAGGCCTGTCTCGTTGGTTATGTCACAAAGAAGTTTACCAAATTTGGATGAAGCTATTGGATAAAATCGAGACATTTTGAGTTACGTTTTAATTTGGCAATTAAAGAGCTGTTAAAAAATTAATAATGGTGTAGCAATAAAACGCTGTTCTGCTGAACAGTAAATTTCGCAGCTGACAATATTTTAATGAAATTCACGTTCGGGACCGGCCTATGTAGATAAAAATTAATCAAAATTCGACGGAAACGATCCGGCTGATATACGTTTCTACCCTTTTCAAACGTCAGAATGCTGGAATTGTTTCATATTTTCGATAATTAAATTAGTACGCGCTGTGGTCGCCACACAGCAAGGCATGGAGAATCAGGAATTCAAAAGGAAAAACCAGGGGTGGCGCGGCCTCCAAGGTCGACCGCAACACAGGTATCGCTTTTTTGCTTCTGTTAAAACTTAATAACCCTCTGTTACTCTCCAACAACATTTGGAAAACAAAAACCTTTTATGTTCATAGTTATTACCATTCTCAATTTAATAACAACTAATTAGAAGATATTTTATTACCCCTACATAATACATTTACAATAGTTATATTTTAATCGAAAAATTAAATGACTTCAAGAATTTATAGTGTAAAAAATCAACCCTATAGTGCACAAAAGCTATTTCAGTTCCCTTCCCAGAAAACACCTACATAATTGTCTAAACAACCCTCTCATATTTAACAATAACAATTAACAATCCCCGTATAAGCAACAGAGGACTTAGTGATTCCTTGTAAACTAAAAATATTATTTAAAGCAACAAAAGCACCAACAATAACCACCATTTAAACAGTACTTTAAAAATATTCTTAACACTTAGCTTCGAATAATACGTTGTTGCTGGGCTATTTTAGTAAATATTTCTTTCGGGACCGGAGAATTCGGAGGGTAAAAAATACCACCAAAGGGATTAAATATCTAATCGTCGGTTTTCTATCAGCTAATAAATAGTATTAGCTACTTAAGGAGCTTAAAGTTAACTGTTGTACCGGGGGTGGTCCCGGAATATTACTTATCTTCCTAATTTAAAAACCTACCTTTTGTGTGTTTGTTATCGAGTTTCCAATTAACGAAATGTG